TAAGTTTTACTGATTTAAAAAAAGACAGGAAGCACATAATTATAAGCAATCACAAAATATACAATCCTATTTTTATAAATTATATACTGTATAATCAACAATTCCCACAGCATGATTTCATTGACTTTTGCCAAATTCTTTAATCTATGGCCACCCTGTTATTGCACTTGGCAAACAAATGCAGTTTCGACTTGGATGCAGACTGGCAATTTTGTTTATGATAATGAGGAAGATGAAAACCAAACCAGGAGGATATATGTCAGTATCTTATTCACTTGTCAATCTTGTGAAGACTTGGGGGAGTTGATCATTGGATTTTGAAAAATGGAAGAGCAATTCTCTGATTTGGGGGGCTATCATACTGCATACTACTAGAAATATGACATGTCCTGAATGCAGTTAATTTGGGTCATTAACATTTTCCAAACATTCTTATATATAGACAATTCAAAAAACAATATATTTAGCTTTGCTTTGTAAACCTTGCCACTTTCCATACCGTAAATACTTCAAGGTTGGTTTCTAGCCATGGCTGTCAGTTACTATGTAACAGCAGTACTCTGTTACAAAATGTTTTCACTGATACAGAGCATGGGATTATACAGATCCAATGAATATGCACAACAGAGAGACAATAAAATGTAAAATAATTAGGAAATTATGAATTTTTAGTTGTTGCTGCCTTTTTAAAAAATATTATTTATGTAATTTTAAGTTTATATCATTTTCTTTTCCATAATGGTTCTGTTTAACAATTGGCTTGCAAAATTCCTGAAATTCTAACAACCTGCTTTCACAGACTGCAGAGCTCCAGTCTGTTCCAGTGAGTTGTTACTGAGTTCTATAGTTCTCTTTCGAGTCACAGCATCCTGTCAATAAAGGGCTGAGAAGCAACTGGTGAAAAGAAACAAGTTTTGAAGTCTCTTTTTCCTCTACTGCTTTATGTTGGTTGTGGGTCTCATGGTTTCTCTTGTAAGCAGCCAATCCTTAGTCTGTGCTAGGTGGAGGTGATGTTTTCGAGGTATAAAAATAGCAGGCTATAAGCTCAGCTCCGTTCTCTAATGTCCTCTGAGTAGGGACAGACTCTGCTCCCACAGTCAAGTTTCCTGCCATTTTATGGAAAGGGCCACTTCCTGTTTTCCCGGACGTGCCGCCTTTCCCAGAGAAGAAGGAGCAGCTTCGTGGTGGCTCTCTGACCACCACAGGGCAGGAAAGGGGATATAAACACCCCAGGCGCAGGGCTCCACCCTGGCTGGCTCTGATTTCCATGCACGGGCGGGGCTTCTAGGACGTTTCCCAGGACAGGACACACAATTCCCTAAGAATCATGCCCTGTCATAGGCTTCACCACTAACTGCTCTGTTCTGAAGCTGGAAACGTGTTGATTTTGGGCTGAAGTTGCAGAGTGAGGCCTGCATCAGGTGACTGTGGAAGCCCATTCCTGTCTGTCTTCTGTTCTGTCCGGTCTGTCTCTGTGCAGACAGCCCTGGCTGCTCCTGAGCCAGAGGCCCCCAGCAGGCATTTGGTACCAGAGTGCAGACTTAGGTCACAGACTCTGCCAGGAAAGCTTCTGGTGGCCCCAAGCCTTCCGCAGTCTCAGTGCCTCTGCTGGGTCACTTGCCTGAGGTGTGAGCCATTGCTACCATATTTAGTTTTGCATCATTCAGGTCCAAATTATCACCTTCTATTTCAAGATGGGAGTTCTGTTTTCCAATCTTATTCCTCTATTTTAGAATTCCCTCAATGATTTTAGAAAGGCACACCTGGTCACAAATATGGAACCTTTCAGCTGGGAGCAACATAATGGCTGGCACTGCAAGTGCGGAGGACAGGAGAAATGATGTCTTTCATTGGCATCTTTACCGTCCTTTGCCAATTACCCTACAGCTGCATAACCAAGGGAAGATTTATCTGCCCCACCTTGGTATTGGAAAGTGGGTAAGAAGGAGTGTGTCTGGTCACTGGACAGTTCAGCTTTGAAAATGTAAAGCCACTGAACATGCACAATTTGAGCTCCACATGCATTGATCTTTGAATCCCCACAGCCTTCTAATTGGAATAAGTAATTGATGACTTAATAGCCTAATCATGAAGCCCTGTGAATCTTGTAAACAGACAATTCAAGGCAGCTGATGAGACGGTTTGTTACTGTGGTGCATGGTGCAATTTCAACTGCAACAAAGTGTGAGGGGAAGCAAGCTGGTGAGAGAGTTAAGGGGCCAAGGTCCAAGTGCACCCTTCCGTTGGGTTAGCCGTGCATACGAAACACTTCTGCACGTGGTTAGGGGTCTGAGGTTAGTGTGCAAGCTGATCAGTAAGAAGCTAAAAGATCAAAGAGCACAGCAGAGACCATTCTCATTGTGGAAGAGACCTCACAGCTCCAAGCACGGGCTGGCCGGCCTGGACCTGCGGCTCTGAGGAGGGACCTGGCTTCCTCAACCCTCCTGCCCATGCACGGGGAGTGTCCAGCAGCCAAAGCTGGCAGCGTGGATCACACTGACGGGACGCAAGGTGAGAGCAGACAGACGGCAAGGCCCGCGCTCAGGGCACACGACTTCCCGCTTGCCCCAGCTCCTCGGAAGCCTGCATTTTGTTGACTACAGACAGCTTGGAGACATGGAGTTAGGCTTTCTATACCTGGAGTGACTTCAATGAGATCCTTAAATCGTCTAAGTGGTGCCACCTGACTTTTGCTCCCTTGTTGTTGCTGAGATGATCAAGACCCCTGACCTTTCGTCCGTAATGCTGCACAGCACAGAGTAACTCTTTTTACCCGGGGACATGTTCCAAAGCCTTCAGGGATGCTGAAGCCACAGTCAGCAAACCCTAAAACACGCAGATCACAGTAACCTCGGCATCTGAAGCTTGCGTTTTCCTAGTGAGAACCCTCCCTCTTCAATTAAAAGGACCTAAGAATTGCCAGTGCCTCTGCTCCCCACTGGAGGCCATGGTCAGCCAGGATTGAGGAGCACCAGGACCTTGCCCACCACGCAGCTGGGCCGGGCACTGCCGCCCACCCATAGCACACAACACCCATGCTCTCCAGTCAGCAGCGCTCTGCTGGGTCTGGCTTCTCTCTGGGTCAGTGGTTCACTAGGATTTCCCCCTGCATGGGTGGTATCCAACAGCCGATGTCACAGCCGTGTCATCCTGGGGAAAGTGAGGCAGGTGCCTGGGTCCTGTATAAGTCCCTATCAGTAATGGTACAGCATTAAAAGGGGAATGAGTTCGCTGGGGGATGGCAGGAGGCTGCCCCGGACGGGACACAGCAAAGGGCTCAGGACCAAAATAAGGTCAAAATCCCATGGGGGTCAGAAACCACAGGGACAGAAGGCCTGAGGGAGAGAGACCTAGATACAGATGGTGCCCAGAAGACCAGCATCTACCTTCTCAATGCCTCCTGTGCATGAGTCTCTTCTATCAGCTTCTAGAACTCTCCATTTTAAGGAGGTTTTCTATGCCTACCATTTGAGAAAAGTGTGTTTTTTAATTTTCACAGCTGTTCAGGGCCTGCTTCTGGTGCATGCTTCACAACAGATGTGCAAAACCAGAGGCGTTCTTGGGAGCTTTGAGCACAAGGGACACAGTGCAGGGGACAGACTGAGACACGCTTCAGAGAAGTCCGCAGTGCCACTCATGGTGGAGGCATCTGCCTCAGTTTCCCCAGGATGACACAGGATGGCAGGGGCTGTCTGATACTGTCCACCCCTGTGGGCCTTCAGGGTGGGTTCTCACAGGGAACATAGGAGGAGACACGAGAGAGCTTAAAGCTGCTTCCACACAGCCATGGTCCATCCAGAACAGTGGACGGGGCTCAGATTCACTGGAGGCAGAGGGGACCCAGCCTGGAGTGTTGTGTTAAAGCAAAACGCCGAGTGGAAGGGAGCTGGTGGATTCCGCCTAGCTCCCCTGCAGTGAGCGGGGTGCAGGGTGGGCAGGCCTGACAACGGGGCCATGGGCAAACTCCAGCCCAGAGCATGAAATTCAGAGGCACCAGGGGTGAGGGGGTAGAAGAAGAAGGAGGGCAAGCTACAGCCTCAGCCTCTGTTTACTTTTCATTTTGAGACAGGGTCATGTTGAGTCGCTAAACTGGCCAGTTTGGTGCACCTAGCTTATCTTTATAACTATGTCTAATTAACCCTTAATTGCTACGGCCAGATGAGTGCACACCAAGATGTGCTGAGGTATGTGAAGGTGCAGAGAAGCGTTTATGGGGAAAGATGAACAATGCAGGCTGCTTCCCCCGGTGAAAGTGGACCAGGAACCCAACGACTATCTTCTCTATCCAGAAACAGGAGACAGCTACTCCATCTTTTCCAAGGAGCAGAAAAGGTGAGATGCCCAACAGCAGAGAGGCACAGACTCCCCACCGGGCACTGTGTACACGCAAATGCTCCTGCTGGTCCCCAGCTGCCATAGGCAGTGCCCCGCGCTGCAGGGACATGCAGTCCAGTGCCACGCTGCACGCTGAGGGGCACAGAGGGGACCTGGAACCTTGGGATGAGCACGGCTGTATGTATGAAGCCCCCCAGCAGGGTCGGGCACGCCCCGTGCAGTCGCCACTCAAGTCCAAAGGAAAGAATCCCCAGGGATTTTGAGGGCATCCCCTCACACAGGCAGGCCGAGGAACCACAGCTCTGCCTACTGCCACACTCACTCCAGAACACTTCTCCTTCTGGTTCCTCAGTTTCCCCAAGTGCCTGCTGCTAAGTCTGGGTGACTGCCATGCTGGGCAGGTGTCCTGTGGTGCCTCTCCTAGGAGGGCAGCACCTGTGGTTGTCTCCACCAGAGACCCCGCTGAAGCCTCACCACAGCTGCGGGCCCTGCCCGGCACCCTGAGTGTAACCTGGGACCTGGGCTCACTGCATTGAGCATGAAGCAAGAAGGCCAGAGGGAGGCACTGGCCCACAGATGGTGACAGGAAGTTGGAGAGCCAGCCCCACAGCAGCTGGGACAGAGAGGCCAACAGTTGACAACAGGATGGGGACAGAGGCACCTACGTTTGGGTCTCAGCTCAGAGGGCTCAGAACCAGCACTCTCCCCAGGAGGGCCAAGGGGCTCCAGCTCTTCTGGGTCAGGAGGATAGGATGGGGGTGGGGGCAGCACTAGGTGGGGCGGGCCCCGTGTGCTGCCCCTTGGGGGCTTCTGTGGCACCTGCCGTCCAGCACCTATGCAGAATTAACGGGAACGACTTCAGAAGGTTAGGCCAAGGTTCCCTGTCTTCAGGGCGAAGGCACGCTGCATGGCTTGCCACACACCAGACCCAGCCACACCTCACACCAAACCCAGGCACACTCAAAAAAACCCTGCCACGCCCAACACCACAGCCAGCCATGCCTGATGCTAACTCAACCTCGCTCTGCACCAAATCCAAGTGCACAAAGTAACAGCAAATGCAACTCACTGGCCACCAAATCGGCCATATCCACCCCTATGCCAGGTGTGATTTTATCCACCGTCGAGTCCAAGCTCACCCACACCACCGCCAGTCACACTCGTGTGTGATGCCTGACATGCGAGTTCTCTCATGTGCCTGGGTGTAGCCTCTTGGGCAGGCACAATGACACAAAAGCTGGGGCAGAAAACTGTTCTTAAACAGCCTCTAAACAGCCTTGTGAGATAAGATGAACCTCTGTCCTCCACACGAATCTGCTTCTGGCTCTCGGCTCTCTGTGCCGACTGCCGTGATGCTTCCACACCACAGGCAGATCTGTGTGACACCTCACGCTGTCTGGGGATGGCCCCAGTGAGAGTGAGGGATTCACTCAGGCTTCCTATCGCCACACATCTGGGCCCCAAGGGCCACTTATGCCTGGAACAGAGTCGCGTGGTGTGGAACTTCCTAATGGCCGCATCGCGTGGGTGCTGGACAGCTTGCAGAGCTGCGAGCACCTCCGATCCCAGACTTTCAGGTTACCCGTGCTTAGCCTGCCGAGCCACGTGGGACCTGACATGTTTTCCAAATGCCAGCTGCTTCTCAAAACCGCCTCCGCAAAGTCACCTTGGGGTTTACCTTTCTCCCGCCCGAGAGACGCAGGTCACACAGTCACACAGTCATCCTCCCTGTCACCTGTCCCCCTCTGCAGCCACTCTCCACCCATGCACCATCCATCTGCACTCCTTGGTGCCTGAAGTCCCATCAAACACTGCCGTAAGACAGGAAGTGAGCTCACAAGCACCTACCCCCACGTTCTCCTTCAGCACAACCATCTTGCAGCGATGCGTCCCTGCGGGCGGGTGTTAGTGGCCGTGCTCACGTCCCGTGCGGGAGGCACCCAGAGGCATGTGACAGCAAACCCCGGCACTCACCTATGGTGCTCTTCCGGTTCTCTTCTTTGTCCTCCCTGCGGCTGGGGACCAGGGGACTGGGTGGAGGTGGCTGTGGCGGAGGGGGTGCTGGTGCCCGCCGTTTCTTCCTCTGCAAGTCAACCTGTGAGCCCAGGGATACCTAGGAAGCACAAAGCGGGGAGACAGCCGGGTCAGGGGTTCTGAGATGTCCCTGGGATACAGGACCTTCAGGAGCAGGGTCCACATGGCACGGGTCCTACACAGGGGCTGTCAGATGGCCCCCTCCTGGGTTTTCAGAGGCAGACGGCAGAGCAGCAACGTGCGGCCCAGTGTGTTTCCCACCTAAAACCGCAATCTCATGTCTCCGCTATGGGACATGAGGTCATTGTATGGGGCATGCCTGACCTGTCTAGAGCAGAAGGCCAGTTCCTGCTCTAGGACTTTCCTGGTTTACGTCTGGATGCCCCCCGAAGCCTGTGCAATCCAGGACGGACCTCTGAAGATGGCCAGACTGTGGGGGCTTAGCACTGCTTGCTGTGGGCACTGGGGTCTGCTCAGAAGAGATGGGCGCTGGGACATGGCCTGGACGGGTATGCTCCTCATCAGCTCCTCCCTGGACTCTGCTTCCTGACCACAATTACCCGAGCAGCTCTCCTCTGCCAGACCTTCTGCCATACCACTTCCACCCTGGAACCACCGACTATGAACCGAAGCCTCTGATACTGAAACCTTGAGCAACCTCTGCTCCTTCAGGTCCAGGGGTCAGGGCCTGCGTCTGGATGATGAGAAAGTGATCGAGATGGACTATGTCAGCAAAATCCTCAATTTAGGAGGGAGCTACTAGGACTGGGTGGGTTTCACGGTTGGAAATGTAAATTGCTTTGTCTGTAAGGACTTCGCTGCATTTGTAGATTTCTTAAGGGAATTTGGAAATTTAAAAGGTATCAGTTCTCCCAGTGCATGACACTGCTTATCTTTCCATCTGTGTCTTCTCCAAATGCTATCACCAGTGTTCTATAGTTTTCTTTGTACAGACCTTTCTCCTCCTTGAATAAACTTACAAAAGCAAAAAGAGACAAATGGATCACACTAACCAGAAAGTCTCCTCCCAGCAAAGGAACCAACAGAGTACAAGGGAATCGTGGGTTGTGACAGTTTAGTTCAAACCCCCATCTGATAAAGGAATTCTATAAGACACATAGAAGGAACCCAAATAACTGACTAGCAAGAAAACAACCCAATTCAACAATGGGAAAATGACTGGAACAGAAGTGTCTCAAAAGAATGTATATTTATACAGGTACACTAAAACTGACCAATATCTCAGATCCTCAGGGAAATGCAAATTATTACACCTGTGAGTATGACTATTACCCAAAAGGTGAATGGTAACTGTTGGGGAGAATCTAGAAAAGGGTACCCTGTACACTATTGGGAGGAACGTAAATGAATAGAGCCATTTCAGGAAATGATAGGTTCATAAAAAACTAAACCAAAAATAGAATTACTACATGATCCAGTTCTCCAGTGTTGGGGATATATCCAAAGGAATGGAAACCAGCATGGTAAAGAGATGTCCACATTCTTGTTTTCATTTCTGCATGACTCACAGAGGCCAAGCTGTGGAGACCTCTCTGTGTCTGTCAGTTGTCAGTGGGTGAATGGTATAAAAAGTTGTGGTAGGTGTATACACAGTGGAATATTGCACAACCTTAAACAATGAGGGGAAATCTGTCACCCTGACACCACAGGTTGAATTTGAGGACATCATTTTAAGTGGAATAAGCCAGGCACAGCAAAGCAAACTGCACGACCTCACTACAGGCAGCCTCTGAACACAAAGCTCTCAGGGAAACAGGGTGCGCACCTGGGCATGGAGACGACTCCTGGAACTCAGCTGTTCTGGAGGCCGAGCCAAAGCATTGGAAGTCTGGGGTCACTGTGGGCAAGTTAGTGAGGACACGTTTCAAAAAATAAAATGAAAAAGGTTGGAGAAATACCTCCATGGTAGGGTGCTCGCTTAACACGTGTGAGGGCCTTGGCTCAATTCCAGTGCTGCAAACGCCAACAGGAACACCCAAAACTAGAGTGTGGGAGGTGGACAGAGGGGTAGACAGTGGGAAGATGTCAATAAGGGGCCCCAGTTTCAGCTCAACGGGGGGAGCTACCGTACTGCACGGTGCCCACAGTCAGTAACCCTGCCGCGCCTCACACACCTTCCAGTCACTGAAAGAACAGGTGTTTAATCTTCTTTCCACAAAGGCACGACAAAGTGGTGAGGTGACGGATTCGTTAACTGGCTTGCTGGACTATTTCTACAATGTTTCAAACGTCGCATCGTACCCATAACTATGCACATTTATCCATTAAAATAAATGAATGAAAAATGAAGAAGAAATAAAGACCTCACCAAAGGAAAAAAAAAAAAGGCCAAGGAAGTTTATCATCGCTAGACCTGCACTGCAAGCACAGTAAAAGGAGTCCTTTGTTTGGAATGAAAGAAACTTAAATAATAATATGGAAGCATCTGGATTTTATAAAGCTCTCTGGTATGGTGACTATTTAGACAGATACTGAATCTCAAACACTGATCATGGAGTGTAAATCATTTTTATTTCTAGTGTAGAATTTAAAAGATAAAAGCCTAAAAATAACTGCAACTATCAAATTATATTAATGGATACAAAAGGAAAAATGATAGAATTTGAGGCATCAATAACGAAGTGGATAGAAATGTAAAGGGCAGAGCTTTTACAGGCTGTTCAAGAGAAATTGAGAGCAATTGGGAAAAGATTGCTATAAGATGCTTTATGTAACTCCGTGGTTAGTGCAAAGAGAATACCTACAGAAGAGGCAGAAAAGAAAATGGGAAAAGAATCATAGTCACCATTAAAAAAAAATCAATGAAACCCCGAGAGGGAGTAAGGGAGGAAAACAGTGCACAAGACACACGGACGACAACGGAACCACAGAGCGATGGAGTCCTGTCCACAAGTGGTCACATAGTGTGAGTTTATTAAAGGGACTGAGTCGCCGAAGAGGGAGGGCAGCGAAAAGCCACGGACACCTGGCTCTGGTACCCAGAGTCCCGCGCCAGGCCCCATTCTATCCCTGGGTGAACTATGACTGTCCCAGCGCTACAGGTTTGCTGAGTGGCTTGGTTTTCTAGCCTGTAGTTCCTGCAGTGAGAAAGTTTGCTAAGAGCTGTTGTTTCATTTATCCTTCAAGCAGCCAGAAGCAGTCTTTATTCCCAGACAGGATAGCTTCCTCACCTGAAGCTTCTACATGGTAATGAAGGAGAGAGAATTCTGTAACATCTATTTAATCTTCAACATGCAAACAATGCACAAAACGGGACTGAACTCAGGCTCAGTGGGACCTGGGTTTCCCGGTGCTCGGTGCTGGCTGACAGGAGCTCTGGACTCTTGCTGCTGTCCTGTGGTAACGGCGCACCCCAGAGCCCTGCGCGTCCACACAGAGCTTGAGCAGGGAAGCACTCTGGTCCCCAGTCAGGAAGTGCAGTCTCACCTGCTGGAGGCAGGTCTGGCTCGCTTCTTGCACACGATCTGGAGCTACGACAGAGTCTTGGTGCCTCTGCCAAGCCACCCACTCTTGCCATCGGCGATTCTTCTGCTGAGTTAACCACAGCGTTAACAAAACTAAACAAACGCTGTGGAATTACCACGCTTCTTCCAGACCTGGAGCCACACCCAGGGTGGTAATTAAGGCAACCTGCCTGGAAAGTGTTCAGCAAGGCAGACTCCCAGCGCTGGCGGGATGGGGGTCGGATAGTAGAGCGGCTTTCCCAAGCCTCTGGGGGCTTAGGTGCTCCCAGGAGTGTCCAGACTAAGGAACCTCTAATGCTCGGCAACCAGGAAGGTCCATTCAGCTCCCACCTGCTGCAGATATCCACGGGGTCTTGTGGGCCTGTCTCAGAGCCCCCAGGCAGGGGGCTCTACCAGTTCTGCTGCTCCAGGAAAATGGACTGAGGGAAGATGGTGAGCCACAGCCACAGGTGGCCAGAACAGGACAAGCAAGCTCCCGCAGCTGAATGGAAATGTGTCTTCCTGTGGCCCTGAGTGACTGAGATCCACAGAGTCCTCGCTGTCCAGGTGGTAAAATCTCACCCACTGGGCACACTAGCAACTATTTGTGCTTAAAAGTGCTGCTTGAGGAAACAATCTTATTCTCTAAAAAATTATTTTTTGTGGTGCTGGGGACTGAAGCCAGGGTCTCTGCACTGAGCTCCACCACCAGCCCCTTTTCTTTTTTGTGTTTTAAAATGAGGTCTTGTGAAGTCCCTAGGTTGCCCAGGCTGGGCTTGAATTTGTGATTTTCCTACCTCAGCCTCCCAGAGTGCTGGGATTGTAGGGATGCATTACCACACCCAGAAGGAAACCTGTTTTGAAACTCTCTACCTGGTTTTATCACCTTCTTTAAAGGAACGCTATAAAACCCAGTCCTAACTGTTTTTCAGAGCTTGCTTGTTTGGGTTTTTCTCCCGGGTGCCAGGAAACAGTGACTTCCAAGCTCCAGGGTGATGGGATTAGAGGCAAGGCTTTGGGTTGGGATAAGGTCCCTAGGGTGGGGCCCTCATGAGTGGCATTAGTGCCCTTAGGAAATCTGTGACCCACACAGCTCTCTGATCCTCCTACCAGGAGAGGACACAGCAGGAGCAGCAGCAGGATTGAGAGAGTGGGGGAGAGGCCCTTCCTCAGACAGCAGAGCTGCTGGCTGTTGGACCTTAGACCGTAAAGCCCCCAAACATGAGAAATGAGTATTTAAATCCATGGGGACATGGTGCACAGCCCAGGCTGGCTTCACCTGTGAATGGCAGCAGGGACCTTCCTGTGGGAACATGGCTGGGTTTCTGTCTTTTTATTGAATCTATTTTTAGTATTTTTATGAGCCCATGTTTGTGGTACATAATGTTTGCGTTGGTTTTAGGTATAGGTACATGTACACAGCACATCTTACTTTCTTTTATCCCCACCTTCTCCCTTCCGCTGCCTCTAGATCCCCTTCCACTGCAGATGACCCATGTTTCCTATCACCTATCTTCTATTATACTTTGGTCTTCTCATATAGGAGAACTTAGGCAATAATTAAGCTTGTGTATCTGTTTTACTAAACTTCACATGATGATCTCAAGGTGCACAT